AGTTATGTGATCACCTGGTCAGAAGCGCTGACGTGGCTCCTGACACACCTGTGTACCTGACACACCTGTGTACCTTCAGGCACGGGAAGAGGGACACGCTTTGTCTCAGCAAGTAGAAGCTCTGTCAGCCAGACTCTCAAGCTCCACCCCTTCCAGCTCTGACTCCTCCCAGCGTCTGTCCAAGGAGGCGAGCYTCCTGTTGGATGTAAGTGATTACCCATGATGCACTMCAGCCCATGTGAAGCCTGTGATGTGCCGTTTAGCTCTGAGCTGTGTCTGACAGGCTGTGGATAACGCTACCATCCCCCAGTGGCAGCGCAGGGAACTGCAGGGCCGCCTGCGAGGACTGCTGAGGGCCAACAACACGGTCACCAGGAAACTGGAGAGCAGAGAGGTGAGAGCACACCTGGCTGACACCTGAGGCCACCTGCTTCTCCTCTGATTGGTCTCCCATCATGCTTTGCTCAGGCTGCACACAGAGCCCAGGTTCTGCTGGAGAAGAACGGCAGGAAGGAGGTTCTGGTGGACTCTGTGGAGGRGGAGTCTCTGTCGGTGGGTAGAACCGGGTCTGCGTGGGTCAGGTTTCCTTTGACCTCATGTGACCTGTCCTGATCTGGCTCTGGTTCTGGTTCAGGTTCTGATGAAAATCGTGAACCAGCTGTGCTCCGCCTCTCCTCTCAGTCATGTGATGCTGCTGGCCCCCCAGAGGCATTCTGGGAAAATTATTTGTGCCTGTCAGGTTCCTAAGGTAACATCAGTGATGTCACGGGGGTGGGGTCATTAACCTCAGAGCTTTCTGATTGGCTGTCTCCTCCCTCTGCAGGACTCACCGGCCCTTGCTGCCTCTGATTGGGCGGTGGCTGTGTGTCGCCACCTCGGGGGGAACGCTGGGGGCTCGGCTGTTGTTGCCAGGGGAACCGGAAGCCACGGTGACATCACAGAGGCCCTCAGGTGGGCAGAAGACTTRGCTCGTCATAAGACCCAGTGATGATGTCACAGTGACTCCTCCCACAGCTGAGCATTCATTGGTTGGCAGTGTCATTGGATTCACTCGTTTCTAATAAACGTAAAGATTTTTGGTTTGAGAAGAAACATTTATTTGTTGTTTACAGAGTAAATAACCAAACAGGACCCAGTTTATCTGCCTCCTGCAGATCAAACCAGGACCAGGACCAGGACCTGGTTCTGGACCTTTGCTCACCTGACCAGCCAACTGTCCAAAGAGATGTCTGAAGCGGTCATCCACATCATCCTCATCAATTTCAATCTGAATCAGATCAGAACTCTGGTCAGGTTCACAGACAAAACCCAAAGATTATCTCAGGAGGCTCCGCCCACTTCAAGAGGCTCCACCCACTTCAGTCCTCACACCTTCTGAGGAACACTTACGCTTCATTATAAGTGCAGAAAACAGAAAAAATTCATTTGTGAAGCTGGTGTATAAGGCACACAGGTGAGCTGCAGGTGACGTTTCTTTATTTCCATATTAAGAGGCTCGACTGCAGTGCTGGCTCTAGCCATTATGGTGTCCTAGGTGAGTTGAAGCGCACCCCTCCTCCCCCCGAACTATGTCCCACCCACTCCAATTTAACCCCTAAAAACCAGTTTGACAGTGTAAGGTACTATGGTAACATCGTACATAGAACAGTTCAATAAATAATGGTACACCCTGTGATTTATTGATTGTTAATTTTGCACCTTTAAAAAACCCACAGGTTTATGTTTGGGATTGGCACAGATTATATAAAAAAGAAGAAGCTTTTTATTTACTACATCTGGCACCAGTAGATATTTTCCAGATTAATTGAGAAACACCTTTTTCTGTCTACATGTAGAACTGGACTCAT